AAATGTTTCAGAAACAATGCTAAAAGTTCTAGATACGTATGGAAAAAACTAATAAAAGTACAAGCATCGAGGTGTTTTAGATTTTCAATCTTGACACAGATACTTTCGGATCCTTTCGTTCAAAAATCTTTCTTTTAAAACGAATTTTGCGTTGTCGCAGTAGCATGTCGAAAGGGCTTTAAAGGCCATTGAAGAAGGATTACTATACTCGTCCCCGAGAGGCATTCGATCGATCTAAGAGTGGTTGTATTCGCGTTTTTAGCTGACGCTCTTCTCGCTCACGTGAACAGCGATGGTCGCGGCATAAAGAGCGGCCTGAATACTTGTAGCTGCAACGAACTGCTGCAGTGCACCTGCGGAGTCAACTCCTTTTTGCAACAAGGAAATGACGTGTCTGGAACGACAAGGGAGGAACGACTGGGCACCGGAAAATTACGTGATCGTGGAAACGAGGTTGTCGTGTTAGGCGCGCGCAAAGGTCGGTCATCGCATCTTTCTCGTCATTTTTTCTTCTACAGAAATTATTAATGCCAGGCAATATTGAATCACAGAGAAGATCCAGTGATAGCCTTCTTGTAATTATCGTATAAATATTTATGGGGGCTTTGAGTGCCAAAATTTTTAACTAATTCTTTAAACAAATCAATCGCCAACACATCGAGCCTTCCACTTTCAACACTTTTGATTGAGAAAGTTTACGTGATGTTTCCTTTAAATATTGCGATTTTACATTAAACCCATTTTTCACTTTACCAAGCAGAATTAACCTTTGTCCTTTACGCTTCTGCAGCGTCCAGCGGACCGTGCGGCCCTACATGCATGATGGGTGTCATTGGGGCTAGTCTGTTTGTGTTGATCGTGATTGTGGGGTCATTTGTTATGTGGCGATACAGGTAAGAAGCCAAAAAATAACTATACACACTACCATCAAATAAAATTATTTTCAATGAAATTTTTGAAATTTTATGCGTACATAAAAATTTATCATATGTGTACGTCCCTTTTATTAACACATAATTTTTGACAAGCTCTGTTTCTCTCACATAAAAATATTGTATCTCACGTAAAAATATAAGTATAAGTATAAATAAATTCATTATTTACATATTACTCTCATATATGTATATTACGTACATATTACACATATATATAAAATTATTTGCACATAGCGGATTGATTTTATTTGTTGTTAAATTAAAATTAAAATAGTAGTGGGAGAATTAAGAGATATTAAAACTTGCTTGGGAAAACCTAATATTGTCACGATGGATTGTAAAACGGTAGAACGTGACAATATTGTATTAGAAGTCTTTTGATCTTAAAAGGATTTGGTGAACCGCTTCTGGACCAGTGGCTTGTGTAGAGCTTATCGGCTTGAATCTTATGTTTACAAGGAATTAAGGGCATTGCGAAGCTTGTAGTAACTAGGATTTGAACGTGGTTTATTTAATCTCGAATTTTCCAGGATTATATAAAAGATATAAAATTAAAATGTGAAATTCTGGAGATTAATTTGCATATTTATTGATGCCGAAGTATAAAATGACAAAATGTTATTCCTAGAAATAATTCGCAGATAGTACGAATTGATAATTCCTAAAATTTTAATTGCTACTTGCAAAGCCAATTTTATCGCTTATTGTTTCGTTAAAAATCCCTGGACCTATCTTTCTTCATGTTACATGTGCATATTTTTAAGTTTTATAACTTTTCGGCACATATCAAAGAATTCATTGCAGGAATACAAATCGAGAGAATTTTTCACGAAAGGAAAGGATATTTGTTTAACTTGCCCAGAAGTAAAGTCGAACTCGAAAGTTTCTCGCAAAGAGCGGAATTGGGAAAGTTTCAATGATATGCACATTGCGATGGCACGTTTTTTGTTTTTTTTTACGTTCGCAGCTTGCAATCGGTTACCTTCACTTTTATTCTTTTGTGAATTTTTAAGTACATTTTATTTGGTTATTTTACGTCAGTACGCGTTTTTATCATTTTTTTTCTGTGACAATTTCAAACCGAGAAAACTAAATGTGTCCGAAAATGTAACGCTCAACTTCCGCCAAATAAATTTCTATTAAATTGACGAGAGATATTACGGACGCTGGCACACCTTGTATATGCAATTCAAACTCGCAAGCCTGCAAGCTATCTAAACTTTCGAATTTGGGTCAATGTCTAGCGAGTGACCACAATAGACTAACTTCCGCCAAGCTGCATTAATATATCCTAAAATGACTCGATCGAAACAAAGGAGGAAAAATTAAACGCGCAATACTTTATATTGCGATAAAATATTTTTCGCAAGAATTTCTTTTACTTTTTTTTTTATTAAAAAGCGTTTCAAGTTTAATTATTTCTTATATCTCTCATTAAAATTAATAATTACTATCGCGGGGAAGACTAAAGTAATTTACACCGCCGTAATTGATAACACGGTAAGCACGGTAAGCGCAACTCCAATTATCCCATTTCACTCCACAAACCAAAATAGCCTCATGAGCCAACATAGCTCGTCTTCCGCATCGCGATGCTCTGCGTTCCAGGATGGCGGCGAAGGGCGCTCGACGGGAATGCAAACACAGGGTGGACGATGCGGCAAATGGTATTGGTATTTTGCCGTCCGACTACATCGATCGCGGCGATGGCCTCTTAATCGGTCTGGACACCTTCACGGCGGCGAATCGTCATCTATTGTTACCGAAGACATGCCCGGTAAGAAATCATCTACCTCGCTCGGAATATCCGCCGATACCATTCACTAGAAATGGAAAAGTTTAGCATAAGAATGAGATAAACCTGAAAATTATGGACTCATCCTTGCGCTGAAAAATCTCGGTGTGAAATTTGTATAATTTCATCGGGGGATTCCCGTGTCGTAAAATCTCTATTCCGTCTCACAAAAGGTACTTGTGAAGAAAATATCCGATAATATTTCTTTATCTATCGTGAAAGCACGATAATTGGTACCCGCTTTCGTGTTTGCAACAGTGGATATTGAGTTCGCTGAAATTATAATGGCTTTGATCTACAATATATTACTCCTGAATAGACGTTATCTGAGACACAGAGTCTGCAAAGTTGCGGAAACTTTCTTATTACTTTAACGCCGGTGTTATCTAGCCGCGGCAGACTTTCCAGCGAACGATGCAAGATAAAAAAAAAGGCGTTCTTTAATAGTCCTCGAATAGTAATATAATTATTCTGTAAGCTGCTTATCTAGATTATCGCGCCACTGAGTTTCCCGAGTTAATAAATTAATCTAGCAATTCTCGCAGGTTTCCAAATATATAACTCAATAAGCGGCCGCTACTAAAAAAGAAGAAATTAGAGATTTCTACACAGACAAAAAATATTTTAAACTAAGTAAATAGATTTACTTAAAATTATTTTTTTTACTGAAGTAAATATTTATTCTATTTAAATAAAAATAACAAATTTCTGCGTATTATACCTATTAAGGGGATGCTGGAGTGATTCTGCACTCTTGCACCTTT